GGGGTCTTGAGGCATGCACTCCAAGAAAACGTTTGAAATTGAGAGTCCCTGAAATGGGATTTAAAACATTTTTGGCTTGAAATTTTGCAGATTTCTGAAGTTTACAAAGTACAGTAGTCATCAAAGGCACGATATGTTATGATCTTACAAACATACCTTTTCCCAAATGAATTGGAAAAGTTACTTTGGAAAACTGGACCGTGTCACCTTATTTCCCCGCGGCTGTGATGCTGGGGGAAAAAAATCCCAGTGTGATTGTGATTGGAAATTTTGCATTTAGATCATTCTAGTAGGTTCTATGAGTCACCATTCTCAAAATTGCATTACATTTCTCTGTGGTTTTAGAGTTTTTGAGAGAATGGTTTTTGTGGCAATTGGGGAGGCGGACACTCCACCCCCTGGCTACGCCACTGCTCCCTGTCCCCTCCCATCCTTCCCAGTTGTCCACCACTGCCATGCAGGGAATTCCGTTATGCCGCGATTTCGCGGAATTTCAAACAAGTGCGGAAATAAGCGGAATTTAATTTAAACCGCGGAATTCTGCGAAATTCAGTTTAAATCGCGAGATTTAAACTTTGGTAAAGTATTTTTTTTATTTTTCTCTCAAATTCACAAAAAGATACATTTGTGTGATCTGATACAAGACGTTTTTGTAAAATTTAAAGCCTTACGAACGGAGTTTCCTTCAAACGGAGTTTCCTTCAAACGGAGTTTCCTTCATTGATATTCATCATTTCACCAGCCACTAACATTTATTAGCATTTTAATTTTTGAACTTCTAGTAATATTCCTGTCACTACACTTCCTGTTCACACAATGTCACTTACTGTACGATCTGTACCTTGGCTTTGGTTCGTAAAAAAAGTTCGATAATGTTTGATGACAATTCAGTTTTCCATGACCGTGGATAAATACATTTTAAAAACATTGGCAGTGGCAAAATGTTGGCAAAAGCCCACGCACTGTGGTTGTTTCTATTTCAGCTTCTCGAACTTGCTGTCACACAGTACTTCGACTAAGCTGCAGATTGAAAATGAGTATGGCGCTTATTTGGGGACGGCGCTCAAACGAGTAATTACAGTTTTCATGTCGATGGCGTACGGTCTGCTGTTTTGCTTATGTTGGGACTCACTGTATATTAAATATGTCAGATTTCTTGTGAAACAAGAAATTTTATTCGACTTCCCAATATATCTCTTATTATCTTAATTGAAATGACCCAACAATTACTGTTTATAGCGGTACATATTGATATTTTGCCTACTGAGAAACATCTGAATTTTGTCCGCAGAATTTCTCGTTTTGGCCGCGGAATTTGTCATTTTGGCCGCGGAACGCCTGGCCATGAATCAGTTAAGGGACAAGTATTCTAATTGGAACAAGGCAATGTTTTATTTATCATTGTGTTTACCCACCTGCCAAGATGGCATCTGTAAACAGCATATAGCAGGATACTGGCTACATAACTAGTCACCTCAATGTTTATATGCACTTATTTTATATTTACCTGATTTCGCCGATCTAGTTTTCCAGTAATCTTGCAGCCTTTCCTGCTTGCTGCCTTGACACTCACCCGTCCTATAAGCACATAAAGGCTAGATTATACTATCACATTTCATTGGACTCAAGAGATTACACAATACACTAGGGGTGCACCAGAACTCGGTTATGGCCAGAACCCCAATTCCTCATTGTTCTGGTACCGGCCAGAACTAATAAAAAAAATTGGCCGAAACCAGAATGTTGCCGTTTTCAGAGAGATAGAATATCAATTATCAAGTTTATTTATTGAATAGCATGAGGAAGAAATTTGGACTATATACACAAGAAAAATGTACACGTCTAACACTTCATTATGACATTTAACATTATTCAATCTTTTTATTCTAACATTTGCGAGCTCTCTCCTTGATGACTGAAAGTGTATGACTGTCTGGCAACAGACAACGTAACATATGACCACATTTAATCATACGGTGTATCACATAATGAATGAATGAATGAATCAGTTCTGGTTCCATCCGGAACTTAAAAAATTGGTTCAGGTGCACCCCTACTGAGGGCCATTCCATTTAAAATCCATCCCTCCTGTTGACTAGGTTACTGATTTTAGACCCCATTGGAAACAGTTTTCAGGAGACCCCCTCGGAGATACGCTTTTTTTTAGAAACCCCTCGGAAATTTACGATTTTTCTCAAGCCCCTCGGAATAATACCTGTTGACGTGGTTCCATTACGATTGACCCCCTCAGAAATTTATTGACCACCCCCTCGGAAATTTTTGTCAACAGGTAGTACCTTCCTCCTGCCCCCCTCCGAAATTAAAAAAACATTTTTGACCCCTTGGAAAATTAAAGAAAAATTTTGACCCCTTCAGAAATTGTCCTTTTACAACCCCCCTCAGAAATTTCAAGTTGGCACTCCTTCAGAAATTCAGAATTTCAGACCCCCTTCGGAAAATCTGGCCAACAGGGGGGCGTGAATATTAAATGAATGGCCCTGAATATACAAAGGTGAGTTTATTCTACATTAATTCAGCTGAATTAATCAGGGTTTTCAGTTTAGGCCGGCGAACGGCGAATTTCGCCAGACTTTTTCATTCAACCCCACCCAAATTCGCCAGAGCTTTTACGTTTAGTCACGTCTCTATTATGTGTACTCGCCCAAATTTGTAAATTCTATCGGTAGAAATAATATCTATCGCCATAGCTTCATCGCCATTAGCCTCACACAAAACTGAAAACTCTGATTAATATAAACAAGTATGTTTATGACATTCAGTATGTAGTTCATAATTTCCAGTCTTCGATCCATCCTGACCATGTAGCTCAGTTGGTAGAACATCTAGTAACTTGAAGGTCATGATTTCGATACGGACGATACCCAGCCTTGGCAGGCAAAGTTTTCTGCTAGCACATTGTCTGGAAATTTATATGATAATGATATGTATATCTCACTCCAGAACATTTTCTCCTTATCATGTGAACAATTAACTATATATGATGAATATGATGTGAACAATTGACACAAAATAATATATATATAATTATATATATAATATACGCCGTGGATATTCATCCGACACCGGACATTCCTTCTTCACAGCTATTAATCCGACAATGCTTTAAAAGCTAACACTAAACAACTAAACGGAACCACAACCCTGAAAACTAACCCCAACCCTAACCCCCTAACCTAACCTAACCAAAAGTTGTAGAAACTTGCGAAACCCACGAAGGAAAAAAAAGTATAAAACAAATTAATAAAGTAGTGGCGTGAATCAATCCCAGAGCTTGGCGCATGCAACACGGGTGTCTAAACCACAGCACTACGGAGGATCCGCTTGAACTTCAATTAATTTATTTAACAAGTTTAATGATAAGGAAATGTCAGACCTGGTTGGAATCGAGGCACGTTCCGTCACATATCTGTGGCGTACAGACTCAGGACATTTATTTCCCCCGGCGTAATTTTACATGAGATCCTTAGATGTGGCGTACTGTAAAAGATCTACATCAATTGATTAATAATTGCAATAAAAGTAACAGTATTTTGTAACACGTAAACATCGTTTTACCTAGGCTCAGATTCCAGCCGTTGTGTTCTCGCCACTCGCCCACTTAACAATCTCGTTCCCCGAGCATGCCCATTCGCAGGTTAAGGGTGGGCATAGCTCTGGAGAAATCGAATTGATTCAGGCCTGTGATTGGCTAACGGCAGATAGTACGTTGGATTTCCAACGTGAGTTCTATATAAACAAAGTATTTGGAA